TGTTACATCGACAAAGCTTCTCGATATATTTTAATGACAACTGGCATTGCAGTCCACACTAACGTACGTAAAAGTTGCAGGTTGAGTTTAATTCTGTTGCTAACTGATAAGTTAGCGTCTCCTTCTTTAGCCCACATGAATTTACGACAGAACATTAACACTTTTCTCATAAAATGGCCCGTCATACAAATCGCTCGAAAATATTATTCAACGTTTTTCAATGGAACTATTTATATTGACTCCGAGCTCGTCCGTTCCACGAACGAGTCTCGCCCAACTTACGTCTCCAACGATTTTTTTCCTAAACAGTTCCATTGAAAAACGTTGAATAATATTTTCTGAAAAATCGGCAAGGGCTCGTGTCGTTATCTTTACGTTCCTATATAAATAGACCTTAATCCACCGCGCAAGCAGACCTGTAATCTGTCTTGCACATAATTCAAATGGTAGCTAATGTTGCTAATTACTCGACGGATTAACAGACAATCAGGGAACTGCGGAACTGGATTTTATTTACACGGTATATAATCAGTAAAGTATTATAGGCTACAGGTCTACAGCAAAAGGTATTGCACGTAGATGTAAAAGTGGAATTTCTTTGACTTTGTAGTCGAATAAATAATGTTCATCATAATTGTCTGAGATTAATATGCTCTTGGCATGTTCCAGTCACAAAGTTCCTTTACTGGCACAGAAATATTTAAGTTTCGGTTTTCAGGAAGTATTTCCATTATCTTTAGCCATTGATTTTCATAGCTTCTTATTTTTGTATCGATAGCTATTATTCTCAGTAATTCACTGCTCGTATGATACGTTATTGTGTTTCCTTAACCCGCTCTGTGGAAATCATTTTTGCTTTTTCCCATCTTTCTTATTTGTTATAGTCCTACAATTTTTACAGTTTTAGTTATATAGTTACTATTATTATATTATATTATAATATTGACCATTTATATAAATCTACTCTAGCAACTTTCAATAAACCTTGTTATGCCTATAACCTAACGTTGATACGTCGTGTGAACCGCGTAAATTACTCTCCAAACATTGTTTATTAGTACTAACTGTAACGAATGTAATACATTACCTTGTTAAGTCCGTGACTTTGAATTGTGATGACTAATTTTAAAAACTCTTTGTGGTATTTTGTTCATACGTAGACAGTGGGACCTACATAAACAGTAAACAGTGATAAAGGCATGTCATGTTTAAAATTATATCTGTGGGCTTTGAATAGGAACCGTCTCAAGGTCGTATCCAAAAAGGTACGTTTAACGTTAAATGTAAATATTTGAATTACTTCAGAACCGACTTGGGTGGTACCAGAGAACGTGTCAACATAAAACATGAAACCTAGCTGTGTCTGTCCGCCTGTCCGCTTGTCTGTAGTCACATGTTGATGTTCAAGAAAAGATAAACTCATGAATTTTAGAACATATTTTCTTAAAGTATGTTATAGAGCTTCGCCAAAATGTGTCCACACATTCCAAATTAGGTTAAAATAGGATAGCAATAATGCGGCAGTTTACACGCTTTTCGATCGCGGAAGTAACTGGTAATCCCAAGTTGGGGGATCCATAGGTGACCTGGCATAACCACGTGGGAAATTCCTTGGGATTTCCTGTGGCTATGTCATCGGCAAGCCGAACGGACGTCAGACACCCTGCACACGTAAGATCATTGCCCTCAGACAACTCGGACGTCACTGACGACATTAGTAAAGGTAAAATTCTGGCGAACGCCCAAGATTTGTTAAGGTAAATTTCATAACTTATTTTAGTGTGTCAACGTCATCGCCTGTTTCAGTTACTACACTTTCGATGATGATGATGATGATGATAATAATAATTTATCTATGCACGTATTTTCAATTACCACTGTGTTTCTCATTCCCTTTAAATGCGAAATATAGAATTTAATTTTTGTTAAAGTACTCGCAGAGATTTCATGCTCTCACAGCTCTATAGTGTGGTAGAAGTTGACTGATATTTTAGAGGTGCTTACTGCCTCCATTATCAGGGTGATTAGTAAGCCACACTCGAAAAATTAGGTTTAGATACAGGAACTGGCCGGACTAAGTGGAGGCTTAAACAAACCAAAGGGAAAAAGACAGACGAAATGACGGAGACAATATCGGTCGATTTCAGTTAGTGTCCGAAATCGAATTGCTAAAGAAAATATTTAGGCTGAAACACATGCCAACTAATTGTGGAAATCAGATTGACATATGTAAATATCACAAATTTAAAAATAGTTAATTAATTTATATAGGTCTAATTCTTAAGAAGTAAGCTAATTCTCAATCGAGTTGAAAGTAAAGGTCTTACTGCTGGAGTTGCGTGCTACAAGTCTCTTTCAGGACCAAAGTTGCTTGATTTATATTGATTTTGTTTTGCTTTAGGTATCGGCCTATTGAAATAGACTTGTTAGTCATAGACTATTCAAGTATCCTTCAGAGCACTGTATGTATTACTGACACACAAGTAGGACGTGTCGCTTGCACACACTTCAGATATGCTAATACGTATTGTAATTTTTCTAACTCTACCCTCATACGTCCGAAGTCATAAGACATTTTTATGAATAATTTGCCACATTTTCTCGGACATTTCTTATCCTTGTCTATGGTTGCCTGGATTGTGTTGTCGTGTGGATTTGTATGTGGGCTGAGGGTGACATCGGCCTACCTGCTCCGTCTTGAGAGCATTTGAACGCAGAAAACAACCAGTGATATCTTCACCTCCTTGAGAACCTCAGACCTGCTTCTGACTCTTCAGACCTGCCACCTTCACTCCTTATTAACTCAAATTAACTCATTTATGAGATGCTTACCCTAAACTCACTTATGCATTGCACAGATTACCGCGTGTAACGAAAATGAGTACAACGGGAAACGGAACAGTAGTAATTTTGATATTGAGATACGAGTCCGAATTTGATGCTAAGCTTATCATCTCCATTAGATTCCGTGATAAGCCTGAAGAAGGCTCGACGCATTTAATAGGTTTTAGAATTTTGTAGCGGATAGGATATTTGTATTCATGATATTGAAATGAAACCGCGCATATGCGTAAACGCGGATAGCGAAAGCGCGTTTAATGAGTGTCACCTATTACACCATCGCCAAAGACAAACAGGAAAACTTTACTAGAATGCTGTTTGATCACCTTTCTTCTTCCCTTCTACTCGTTGATACGCAGTGAACTATTCTAATTAGATCGAAACAAATATTTGAATCGATGTTATTACGAGGGTCTATTCAAAGGCTGTCGGCCAGGTTAACATTCTTATAAAACGTACAGGATTAGGCTGTGTTTAACAAAGGCTGTAAACATGTTACAGGTCAATGTTCGTATCCTTTTGATGAAATTCAAAGTAGCACCCTAGAAAGTAGGCCCTCGCTAATTTGTGGTAACCTCATTTCTCTATAAAATTCTGTTAATGGTACCTCACACTTGATTATGATAATTTTATGTTTATTATAAAGTCAGAATAGGCCCTATTTAGCGGTAAATTCAGCCGATGCCCACCCTCTCTGCACAATAAGATTTGTCAGTGCTTAATTTGCATGAGGTAGACCTAAGTAGACCTATGTTGGATTAGATTCCAGGTTCGCACAGGGGCAACACATGAAGATGACTGTTTTAGTTTCTTGGGTTGTTGCTTCGTGCAGTCTGGTAAAAGTTTACCGACGTTTCAGAAGTGCTTCCATTATAAGGGTGATGAGTAGCTCTGTTGAAGGTACTTTTAGGCAAGTTACACCGAGGCAAGGAACTGAACTGACCAACGTATTATGGGATTGCTGAACAACTAAATAGAGAAGCACAGCGCAAATTTCCGTAGACAGCCATCTTCATAATCATACGTTCTAGTATGCTACAGTACATGGTCTTGAATAATCAAGTTTATGTTTATAACAGTTTTTATTAACATTATTTGAGACTTAAAACTTAAACATGGAATTAGAACGAAGCATAAATACACACTCTGTAGGCAAAATGCAGAGTTATTAAGTGTTAAATTAGGTGATACGTAAACACTGTTTTAAAGCGTTAAATCCTGGTGGAGATTAATCTTACAGAAAAACAGTGGCTCTGAGAAACTGTAACAAAACCGTTTGATACAGATTAATTAAAACACACGCGTCTTTTTCGCAGATAAGTTCCATAGCTCAGTTCTCGTCTTTAGAACGTGAAGTGCTATAAGGAAAAGTCGAATTGTCTCGGAAAAATTTGCAAGCGAAGGTAATAAAAATCTACGTCAAATTAAATGTACTGTAATTGTGGACAAAGTGTTAGCTAATAGATCCTGTTTCTTCGTCCTGAAGGCTCCCGCGCTCATAAGTCGGCACCCTTTCGTAAGTCGACGATATGAATTCTTTGTGATACGTTTATACTTTTCTGGCAGTCAAATCAGGATTGAGTAGAAATTGTGCAGAATCAGTAGGCTGGTCACTCACTACTCATAAATGCACACTCCAAGACCAAGAAACCTTCGAAAATGAGGGAGCGAAAACCCACAACCGGGTTGTAGGGCCAAGAAATAACAACATTTATACTTTCATACACTTCCTCCAGCCGCGAAATGTTTGTCTAGTACGGAATGCTTTCTCGCAAATGTAAATAGTGCTAAAATAATTATAATTAATTGGTTGTCATTTCTGTCAGCATAATTGAGTCGTGGATCAGTGTAATAAAATTTAACCTCAACTAATCTTTGTTACCTTTAAGTTTTCTGCGTGTCTCCAAGAAATTGTCTCACAGATGCTTGTCTGATAAGTATGATTCATAGTTTCCGGATTTTATGAACAACAGTGTGAAGCAGATGAATTTAAAAACGATGAATTTGTTTTATTATGTCTATGTAATTAAATCGTATCATGTGCTTGTGTCTCGAGCTTTTTGCATTCCTAACAAATGTGCGTTACGTGTGTTAGAATAATACATACGTTATCTCCCGCGGTTGGCTGGAAAATTTTCAAAAATCTTTTGGTTATTTACCTGTGTCGATGGTGGTAGGAACGTAGTTTGCTTCTGTGATCCAGATCTCAGGCTGCTGCAGAAAAAGTGCGATTAGTGCCGCGTGCATGCGGGCGGTCCTCTTGAGAACCACACACACACTGACAGCGAACAAGGAGCGAGAACCACGTGTTGTCTCTTCACCGGTCACCGGGTAGACTGACTGCTAGCCTTCACTTCACACGCAACCTGTAGTACGCGCTTTAGAGCTTTCATTATTTTTTTGTTCGCCGCAAGCCAAGGAAAATTTATATTAAGATTGTTCCCGCCCATGTAGAAGATTCTGATTTGACTTCCCCGCTAATCCGAAATCCCTCCTCTTCGGTTTAAGAGCCCCCACCCTCCGATGAGCTGCGCGCTTTGAACGATCACGTTGTGACACCGGCTTCCCTCACCCGGCGACATGGAACTTCACACGGCAGAAAATCTGCATTTTTCTTTCCACTTCTACCCTAGTTCCCTCTCCTTCCTCAGATTATGCAGAAGTACACTGATTGGTTGGAGAGAGGCTCAGTAAATAAGTGGAGGAGTGGATTCCCATAGCAACGTTGTCAGGATTGGCCAATCAGGAAACCTGGAGGCACCTTCTTGCACGGCGTGAATTGTTGACGAGTATATAAGGAAGGTGGGGGGGTGGGGGCAGTTAAGGGGAAGACCCCATGTGAATCGTGTTTTAAATTATACCTGCTCAAACTGCTGTTTCTGCTGTGAGTTACAAAGTGGAGTGGATTGCTGTTGGTAGCCGGTTGTTTGTCCTTGGCGGGAAAAAAGTAGTTCCGTTAGTGTGAAGCTGTAGTAGGAAGTTCAGGGGTGACCATGACCCCCATGACTAACTCACAAAATTCGACGCACATTTCCAAATATACTCCGTCACATGTTTCTCTACAGTTCTGTTTTAAGTGCGGATGGAAGTGACAATGAACCTTTTGTCATGTATAGTCGATATTTGTAGATCTACTTTTGTTACATTTCAGAAATTATTTGCAGTAGTTCACCTGCAGTATTAGTCCTTAAATAATGTTGTTAGATGATTGTTATTGAATACTCGTATTTATTTTGTGGAAATATCCAGTTCCCAACTTGTGTTAGCGTGTTCAGTACATTGTTAATAATACGTATTCTACCGTATGACGAGCCAGATATTTCATTTAATAAATTGACTGGCTTCAACCTCGATAACCTGATTTAGAAACCCATCACGGACACAGGCATTTCTCTTGACATCACGTAAGCAAATCTGGGTTCTACCCAGCGCATTGTGCTCATTATACCGGCAAAATGGGGCGTGATGTAACCGCTCACCTCAATAAAATGCAAATATTCAGAATTCATGGAGCTTTACCATTACTTCTCCGATATGGTTTTATGGTGTTTTGCCTGGGCTAACGGACTTCCTTGGGAGCCCAACTTTAAGAATTTAAAACTACTTTTAACGTAGGGTAGACTTATTCTAACCAACTGCATGGATTAGAATAATTCTTAAGATTCTAACAGCCCAGATAGTGTTACGTAGCAAGCCTCAGCTTGGGATGAAGCTTATATCGTTATAGTCAGCACTGTTTTTGAACTCTGAACTTTGAATGTTGGAGTCGCAAGCTCGTAGCGGTCTGACTATATTTCAGCAGTCTATTGGTGGATAGAATCGTCAGGTAATTCACTAGGAAATGAAGTTACTGGCCACGTACCTGGCAAACGATACATTTAGGCTTTGCTGCTCAGAGGTGGACAACGCTAAGCGATGATTGGTGGGATTGTCGAAACACGACTCTGCAATAGTCCCTCACCTTGTCAAGAAATTCCCCTCCTTTTATGGAATGCGCGAAGTTTTATTACCTTGTGCTTAATAGCCCTCGTCTGTTCCTATCTTGAACCAGATTTATCTGTTCCACATCGTCATATAATATTCTTTATCCATTTTAATGTTATCCTTCCATTTACATCGAGACCTTCGAGTTCATTAGAAGAACCTAAACACCGGTTCTAACAGCGTTGTAGGCCTGCCCTGACGTAATTATTCTCTGTCACTCCCTGATATTAAAGCTCGTAAAAACGAAGAGCCGCGTTATTATGAAATGTTTTTGCAGTTCTTAAGTCTATACGTCTCTGCACACAATGAAATATCGGCATATGTTTACCGTGCAACAGGAAATCCTTCATCGTTTATCTTCCGTCACGGGCGAAATGATGACAGTTTGATATGAGAACAAAACAACATTTCTGTTATATGTCCTGACGTCTCGGAGTTCATCTGAAATTATATTCAAAGTTCAGTTCCTTCCTCAAAGAAAACATAACACTTCTCTATTACAAGAACCAACCGATATTAATAATGTTTAGGAAAATTTTACGAAACCCATAAATAGCCAACAGTAAGTGTGCAAAATACAGAGTTGCTGACTATTAAACTACGTGGTATGTGTAGTTTCCACTAGTTTTTAAGGTTTAGAATGCTGTAATTTTAAAGCAATCTTTTTTAAGTCTTCAGCTACAATTTATTTTTTATCACGGTCACGCATTATGAGGTCTGTAGATAGATAACATGTTAGTTTCTGTGCCTTGTGAATTTTGTGCGTAATCGAAGAATTATAGATTTCTTAACCTATTCTACAAAACGTTTTCTGCTGGTTTAATCTGTGAAAGGGTCATATTTTAAAAGGCATAGCAGAACGCAAGTTCTATGTTCCCTTTACAGGTCTCTGAAAATTCTGTTAAGTAGCATAAACTTAATGTAATCTGAGTGTATTTCGAATGTGGTCCAGTAATGAATGTCACATGAATGTCGAGAAGGGATTATGAAATATTGCCAGAGGATCTGAAGCTACAGTGGCATATTTCAAGACTGAAGATACGTTTCAGTACGTGCTCTCCTCAGAAGATTAAACTACCCGGATCTGCATGACATATTAATTTGTTTGAAACTATCATAATTCTTTGTTGAACCCAGCTAGGGTTACTTCCTAAACATCAATTCGTCTGACATTTTAGTAGTCTGTCTCTGGATGTACAGAGTAATTTAATATTCATGAGCTTGTATAACACTTGGGTACTACAATTTTATATTTTTATTTTTGGTTACTCTAATGAACTGTCAAACAGGTTATAGGCTTCACGTTATGGTTGCTACATTAGTTCGCTGATATCTCAGTTTCTACAGGCTTTGGCTCGCCTGCAGTTTATAAAACGTGATCATACCAAGTCCAAAACCTTTCTGAATTGTTTTTATGTAACTCTATAACGTTTTTGCATTGACCCATCAACCGTGTTGTTAAATTTCGTTTAGGGCTGCTATAAAACGTTTCTTTATTTCAACAATTTTGCTTATATACAGAATTTCAAGTTCAAGTTTCGAATGGCATTGCATTTAGTCGTCGCAACATGTAGCTACTGAATTTAAGATATACAGAATTGGGATCGCGTGTTTGAAAATTCCTCAGGGCATGGATATTTGTTCGCGTTTACCTTTTGCAGGTCTTCTGCGTTGTATTTTAATTATTAAGGCTGTTACCGTACTACATATCTGAAAGAGAACGTGTTTCGGATTCATTCTTGTATTACAACATGGTAAGAAGTAGAATGAGTGGAAGGAACGTAAGGAAATGGAGATGACGCAGAAAAAGATGCAGAAGATAAAGAATAAGCACAGTGTGGAGGAGAAGAGAAAGAAGACGTAAAAGAAATAGCAGAAGTCAGAAAAAATAAAAAAAAATAACATAACCTTGATGACAAGTCAAGTTGAGCCACAATTTTATTTCGGGCAGACCTCTGATTCAGAATTTATTCTCAGACAATCCATCTTTTAGACGTGTGGTTTGATTCCTTGGAAGGGTGGCCAGTCCACTGCAGAGCCAGTTTTTACAACACAACGCAGAACTCACGGATAAATATCGAAGTCCCTAGCGTGATCCCAGTTTTCAGATGGCTTATGCGTGCGCTGGCCACCCCTGCTTGCCGGGTGAGCCATCGAGGGACGTTGAGCCAGCGGTGACGGTCGCTGCACAGGTGTGTTCGTACTCTAGCGCGTGGGCAGCTCACGAGTGACGCGTGCTGTGGAGTTGTGTCGCGTGAGGGGAAGACGAGCAGAGCTCCATAATAAGATTTAATTACAACATCCTGTGTGTGTATTGCCCTAACCGCAGCATTGCCCCATTCTTTTGCTGCAAATTCCAGCTATTTATTTTCTTGGAATTTCTGTTCAAGGAAAACAGTTTGATGCCGAGGGTCGTGTCTTTGTGTTGGGGGGGGGGGGGGGGGGTTGGGGGGCAACCAGAAATAGTATAACATTGCGACCAAATATTCTGAACGGCGCAAAAGTTTCTTAGAATCCAGTTATAATGTCTCATGTGGCTTTAAAAGCCGCGTAGGACATTAAAAAAAGTTGCAGTTTAATAAAGACATGCACATGGTCATAAAATTCTGACCAGAATTCTTTCCACAGTGTAGATACATCACCCTGATGAAGGAGGCAGTAATGGCTTCTGAATCGTAGGTCCTATTCTACCAGAATGCAACTGTGCTACATCACAGAATAGAGTAATCTTAACACTAGTGGTTGTAAGAACCTTAAATCTCACCATCCAGGTGTTTGTTAATTTTGAAGCCCATCTTGCGTCTATATCATGCAGTTTTTTTGTATTTAGACACGTCAAGGCTTTAGTCTACCCGATGTGTTACGTTAAAATAAATTGTATGCGTTTTCATTGCGGTCTAACATTTTTGTCCCACATATTTTCCTATCTGATGAATAACGAAATATGTCATAGGCGTGGAACCTAAAGACTTGACCTTTCGAAGCAACTGAAATGTAAATAAGGCAAAGTCCCAAGCCTAAATATAAACAAAGCGTTGTCAAGAATTATAGGTTTACTGACTCGGAACTGAGTATAGTCCTACAAGTTTGTGCAAAATTAATCGGTTATTTGGGTTATTATTGTAGGAACCTCGCGAAAATTAGAAGCCAGCAAGTCGGAACTTCATTACTTACATTTTAAAATGATACAATTTCAAAGAATCTTTAATATAAGGCTGGTCTTTACGTAACGTAATCAGTGAGAATGGTTAATTCTTGTTTTCATATTAAATCATTCTTTTATTGCCGCAACCAATTTCAGATAAGGTACTGGAAACTCGTCTTCAGGAGTCGTTAAATTATAAATCATTCGAGAATCCTTTCTAATTATTCGACTATAAGAGAAACGAAAGTCGAAGTGCGTGTATTAATTAATTCATTTCTTAAGCCACAAGATTGGGATTTTAGGTTTTCATTAAAAAGCGAAACTTGAAGTCATTTGATATA